ACAATGCTATAAAAGTTACATTTTTATATTTATTTTCTGTACTCTCAAAGACAGACTTGGGTAATTAATAAGAATTTAATTAAATTCATACGTTGGATTCTTGCACATTGATCTAAAATTTTGTTCTACCATTTGACACAAGTTGAACCTAGAGATTTCCTGTAGCATGTGAGACTGTAGGATGTGCGGATGTAACTTTTGTTGAACAGCATCCACTTTGAGCACAAGTAACAATGACAGGACAATGACACGTAAAAAAACACTGAATTGTTTTTTTTTGTAACATCCTTAAATGGCATAGGAAAAAAAGAGTCACAGTCAGCAAACTGACTCAGTAATGTCAGTTTCACAGCAATATTTACTTAATTTTTTCTTAGCATGGCTAACGTTAGCCACCGTAAGCTAATGTCAAATAAGACCAAGAAAGACTGTCACAGCAAAACACCTAAGTTTATTAATGAAAACAGTTGTGTTGTATTGCTCCTTTTTTCATTTGTAAGAGGGTGATTGTGCCATTAGGTTATTCAAGAGTCAGTTGTCTTACTTTTAGCATATTTTGTACTATTTACTCTAATTCGACCACTGGCTTTTGCCTTGTACTAATTCGCTGTGAACTTACGTAGCAATAGCTAGCAATATACTGTACACACCGTGTGTGTTTGTGTCATAGCTGAGACTTAAGCTAATCTCAGAACTCACCAGTAAAAATATTTTCTACTGGGAAAGTCCACCTTTACCTTAATTCGTGCCACAGAGAGCAAATATTCGCTTTGCATTCTGTCTGAAAACCTTTAAAGCACAATTGACTACTCTTTTAAGTAGGTAACCCTAACACTATTGTAACAACCGTACCACCCATTTTGTATGCTCCCAGATTTATTCAATTGGCGTGTCTTAATTTACTTACGTTAGCACACCTCCATGTAGTACACCGAGCACTCTATGTACTGTACTTACTTGCGTTGTGTGTGAATTTCAACAGGCTAGTGGTGTCTCAGATGGCACATGGCTGATGGCTTACCAGAAGCTCGGTAGATCAAGCGGTGATAGTCAGCCACGGACATCACGCCGTATCGGCAGTGAATCAATTCAGACTGATAAAATAACCCGACGATGGCTTCTATTCAACTTCAATAAAATGGTGAAAAAGAACCCACATGTACGGTATAACTTAAATTTTTTTAATTTGGTGTTCACTGTTTCATTAACAACTGCTGCAGCTTCCTCACCCGTCATTTTACAAGTTAGTAATTGTTGAATGGTTGGTGGTTGGTGGTCCCTCCTCTTCTGCTACATAGCAAAGATGGTGACCATTGGCGACCAGGGTTCCACACTCAACTTTTTGACCGTTATGAGTTCCCCATCTGGGCTGCATTTTGCCATACTTGTCGGTGTGAACGCATTTATGCACTTAACACAGCAAGTGTAACAAATGATCTTCAGCTAAATATATTAGAATAGTGTTTTGGCAAAGCTTGCTTTGTAAGAACATGTTTTGGCTCACTCAGGTATCTGGAGTACACCCTAGACCCAACTAAAATCCGCAAGCAAGACGCCACATCTACCATCCAGTACATCGCCCGAAACATTGTTGGGATGCCACTGGCCTGGAACTTTGTCAGAGCAAGATGGAGCTACGTTTTGGAGCAGTAAGAGCATCCACACAAGCAATAATAACCATATATTAAGTCCTTCTGATGTTTTGAACAGCTTTTGAGCCTTCACGAATGTCCACACCATCAGACTTAATTTGCAGTCTTTCCTGTTTAGAGGGACATTTATCTGAGGTCAGACAGATGTTCAATGAGGTCAACAGCAGGATATAACCCAATTTCCCTCCGCTGATCTCCATCATTATATCACTTTACCTTTCAAGTGAATAGCATCTTTCTTTTCTCTATTAGGTATGGACAAGGATCATTTTCCTTATCTAATCTCATCAATGGAATCACAAAGAGATTTTCTACAGAGTTTGAGTTACAGGAGGTAAGCCTGCCCACGCAGTCACAACCACACTGAAGTAAACACAGTATTTCCCTGTATTTAGAGCAAGAGCAAGAACAGAACAGAAATTCACTTTGTCTTTTGCTTGTTTTTGTTTTTGTCTCTCTCCAGCTGAAGAAATTTAAAGAAGACAACCTGCATGTTGGTTTTGGCTCAGCCACCTTGGCCCTGGAGCAGGCTATAGAGAAGACCACAGCCAACATCAAATGGGTGGCAGAGAACAAAGCCCATGTGCTGAAGTGGTTTAATGACGAGTCCACATGAGAACACTGGGATGCTCAAAATTACACACTCTTTTTGTTTGTACCGTCAGGGATACGTAATGAAGGACAATCACTATAATCATCTTCTTGGAAACAGTCAACTGACACTCACTGGTCATCCACTTAAGTGCAAAGGGTCAGATATATGGTGAGCAGTGGGCCACGTGTGTCAAAACATATCAGTAATGCAGCTGTTACCTCTGGTCTGTGATCGTCAGAGAGAAAACCATTAAACAAATGATTGTTTCACTTAAAAGACATTTATTTTTATTTTCAGATGTATGCAATGCACCCAATGGACCATATTCATGATGGGATGTTAACTTGTAAATTAACTTTTCCTGCAGCTTCTTGTAAAGTCATTAACAAAAAGTCCCTCTCAATGTTAAGTCATTCTCAACACTGGCTGTCTTTACATTGAAAATCCATTTGCCGTTCAGTGATAGGAGAGAAAGAGCCTGTTTTGATTTTTATTAGGCTTCTTGTTCTTGTCTTTTTTTTTTTCTACTTGATTATTAAATCATAAATCATTGCACTACATGATGTACCAGTTGTCTGCAAAGTTTATGCAAAGACTCAAATGAGAAATAAATCAAAAAGGCTCAGAAAGACCTGATATCTGTGTCATTTTTCTTTATACAAAATGGATTCCCTGATTCTCTGATAGTCACTGTTCACAGTTTGTGTTTAACACTGTGATAAAAACGAAAGGATCCACATAAACCCCTCTCTGTCCATAATTATGTGTGTATGACTCCACTCCTTTGGGAATCGGCTCTGCCAGTAATATACCAAATACTGGAAATGGAATCTTACAGGAAATTCTCATTTAGACATGTTGTGACAGTTCAAGGTGACAGCATGAGCTGATATGCGGTTTTACAGACTCTTTATGGCCTCTATGTATATAGTTGAAAATAATGAAACGGTTAAAGGGGCTCTCTGTCAAAGTTCACAGGGAGTATATATATGTACTGCACAACCTGTGAAAACAGTTGTGCAATGCCTTCTTTGGCTTTGGAGAAGGTGACATCATGCTCAGGCTTGAGAAATACACATTTTAAACAGGCATTGAGTATAAAATGTGTGTGCTCAGCGCCATTTCCCTTCATTTCATGCTAACCGAACAGGAGGTCCCCAAAGCTACTTTGCTTTACAGGCAGAAGCTAATCACTCTGAATTGTCAGTCAGAAAAAGCAGATCCAATTGTTCCACAAATGTACTAAGAATTCTTGTCCCTGCATTGTGTTAGGTAGCTTGGAACTTGGTGCAATCAGTGCAACAAAGATGAATTTGTAAAAAACAAAAGCGCCTCGGGCAATGCTGTAACGCACTGGGTGGTCCAGCCCACGGTTGCAGTAATGTGGTAGATTGTTGTGAATTCAAACAAAGACATTTGATATATTTCAACAAAACCTCTCAGTTATGTTTCAGAAAATCATCATGATTTGGCTAAAATAAGTGCGTAAACTAAGTAATAACAGAAAACACCTCTGGGACACGAACACTAGTCTCCTGGTTGAAAGTCCTGTGTACGTTTTGGGGTCTTTAAACTACGTCATCAGACTCTCTGAGCATTTTCCCTGAGCGTCTAATAATAACGCAGACAGGTTTACATTGTAGCTACGTGAAAGCTCGCTAAAGGGTGCCTTGTTCGTCGGTATCACTAGCGTGACAAATGAGAACAGGCTGGACTTTTTAATAAAGTGACCGAGAAATGATGGTATTAGACCTTTACCTCAATATTCTATTATACATTTTGTAATATTATTGGACACAATTGTATTCAAGAAATGCATCACACTGTATTTATCTTCAAGACAAGGCTCAACAAGTTCAATAGCAGACACATGAGCCATGACTGTATATTCAGTTTGAGGATTGTGCAATAGCCTGCAGCATGATTTGGAAAGACAAGTCTGGCTCTAGTCAGGACGTTTGGGATTTAGCTTGACATAGTATAAACAGTGTTTTCCTTAGCACAAATTATCAAAAGAGTGATCTGGGGCGTTTCTTGGAGCAAGTGGATAAGCAGCTGATGTGCTAAAAGGGAGTGCAGTGCTGCAGACATCGCTGCTTTAAAACTGGACTCCACAATCAACAGGTGAAAATTTGGCTTTAGTCTAAACTACCTAAATGCAAGGTAAGTCCAATTACCAAGGAAATGGTTTCATGTTATTGTATTAGACTGTAAATTGTTTTTTAATGGTGTGTACCACACCTGTGTTAAGAAAAAACCCCGTATAAGGGGCTTCTAAGGTGGGGTGTCAGAGGAGCGATTAAATATGATCCAGAAAGGCTAATTTTTGGGGAGAATTTGAAGGCTTATCAGAAATGTAAATACCGTGTTTTCTAATACTATGAGACAGACTTTACAACTACACTAACCGTGTTCACACCACAAGAAATTTTTGCGACAATTCAAAAGTTTGGATCAAAATTGGCTGGAAAATTAAATGGAAAACCAAAACATGGGTGACCACACAGCATTATCGTACCTGAAGGCATCCTGACTAGGCCCTGACCGAGGTCTGAAGCTGCAGCCTGTTGAGACAAGTTGTCAGTGTCTGTCTCAGTTGACATATGAGTGTGTAATAGTACGTGTCTGACTGTCAGATTCATCATCCTACCATTTGCGCAGTTGAATGTTGACACTTCTGTTTTACTTTCGTTATTGTGCAAGAGTTACATTCCACGATCATCAAAATTATTTGCATATACATTTTTTTCTTATGTTTGCAGACCATAATCCAAATATCATGATGTTGGGAAAACATTTCTGTGGCAGCTGTATTGACATAGGGGTTCTTGCACAACACATGTTCTTTCAATTTAACCGTTGGAATGTCTCCATTCCTTAAAGCCACAACTTTTTGGGTCAACCAAAGCAAACTCTGAGTTTGCACGATTAAGGCTAAAGAAAAGTTTCTGCAGTTTTGAAACCCTTCTTTATCCCATTTCATTATGCAACTCTGACTTCCTCAACATCGGCAGATCCCTATACAGTTGGCATTTGCAAATTGTACACACACACACACACACACTCAGACACAGACACAGTTCTACTGTATTTCACACGGTTTAGAGTAGTGTATAAACAGAGATAATCTTCTAAAGAGGGCCTTTATTCAGAGCCACTATGCTGGTGTAAAGTTCACAGAATAGACAGGGCTCTATCTTATCTCAAGGACTTTTTACAACTCAATATTTTGGACATTCAGCTCTTTTCCCCACCCAGAAAATCAACCATTAACTCTGGGTTGAATCTGACAAGGCAAGGCATAACTAGCAATCCCATTCCTCCATCTGTCTTCACTTTCTCTGGCGAAGACATGGGGAAAGGCCTCTTTGTCAGCAAAGCAGTGGCAGTGACCTGTGTGGTCGCAGCCATCGGTGCTGTAGCCACCATCATAGCCCTGTCTGTGGTTTACGCTCAGGAGACGTCAAAGAATGAAGTGACGCCTTCATCCACCGCCAGCCCCAACACCAGCCCCAACACCAGCCCCAACACCAGCCCCACCACACCCTCCACCCCGAAGGAGCCCTGGCAGCGATACAGACTCCCAGACTCCCTCGCTCCCGTCTCCTACAATGTCACCCTGTGGCCCCGGCTGGAGCCCAACGAAGGCGACCTGTACATCTTCACCGGACACTCCGCGGTGGTGTTCAGATGTGTGAAGGAGACCGACCTCATCATCATCCACTCCAACAAGCTGAACCTCACCTCCTTCGAGGGCTACCATGCCAAGCTGAGGGGCCTCAACGGAGCGACTGCGCCCGGCCTGAAAGACACCTGGCTGGAGATTCCCACTCAGTACCTGGTGGTTCAGCTCGACAGTCCGCTGCAGGCCGGCAGCACGTACGAGCTCTTCACCGAGTTCCTTGGAGAGCTGGCCGACAACCTGGGAGGATTCTACAGGAGTGAATACACGGAGGATGGGGTGAAAAAGTAGGATGTTCTTTTTAATCTTAATCTGATTATTTAATTGCTTTTCAATATTTTGGTCTAGTTCTGAGAATTAGTGCAATTTTAAACAATGTGTAAATGTTAATATGTAATGTAATTTAAACACATGCATTTAAACCAGACATTCACTTTAAGACATAGCATTTTGGGAACTTACTCTCTTTCTTTGCCCAGAGTTAGATGGAGATGTCTGTCCATTAGATAAGAAGCTATGGCCAACAGTCTCTTAGCTTAGCATATAGACTACAAACAGGGGGAAAGGAATAGCCTGACTCCGTACAAATGTAACAAAATTCTACCCACACCTCTAGAACTCACGCATTAACATATTGTATCTTGCATGTTCAATCAGTACAAAAACCAAGGTTTCCAGTCTTTTTGCTAAACTAAGCTAGCTGGCTGCTAGTTGTAGTTTACAGTGCTGTACAGACATGACAGTGGTATCCATCTACTCGTTTAACTTTCGGCAAATGTTTGTATTTCCTAAAATGTCACATGTTCCTTTAATTAGATTAGATTAGAGAAGCAGTGTCTAGTCTTTTTAAATTATCTGTTCATGTTATGTTTTAATAAAAATGTATATGGTGGGCTATTAATAACGAGGAAACATTAGCTCTATTTCTTGATCAGTTCAATGGATAAACTTAGGAGAATAGAAAGTCTACGTGGATGTGGTTGCAATGTCAGTTTGTTGATTTTAGAATAACTTCAGTACAGAATGCAAAAGTATGTTTTACAAAATGAATTAATTAATTAAATAAAACAATATATATATATATATATATATTATACTTTCTCGAACAAAAACAATATATATTTTGTAGTGTTGTATTTGCAGCCACTATGTGTAAGATTAGAAATATTGTCACTTTGGTTACTCCTAGTGGTTTAATACACACCAAAATCCCTGTCTCACATTCCCTTACATAAACAAAAAAATGCCAGTATGCAGTGAGGTATATCTCAACCCTTTATCCTGCGTGTCTTATCTTGTCAGATAATTATGTTCTCTCCTGATGCACACAGCAACCCGTTTCCCACGGGTTGCTGAAATGTAACCCGTGGGAAAAAGGTTTCCCTCACGAAGGGAGAAGTGAAAAATACTTAGGTTTGGTGAAAGTGTGTACACCAAAAAAGTAACAATCACATAGTTCCAAAACTTACTAGAACACATTGAACGGGGATTATATCTAAGTGTGAGAGTATCTAAAGTGGAGAGTTCCTTTAACATTTGATGTGGGTGTTAATTATTCCGTTTTCGTATCTGCTATTGTCAGAGTTGTAGCCACAACTCAAATGCAGCCGACGGATGCCAGGAAAGCCTTCCCCTGCTTCGATGAGCCCGCTATGAAAGCAGTCTTCCACATGACCCTCATTCACCCCTACGAGACCGTGGCTCTGTCCAACTCCATGAACTACGGCAAGTTCTTCTCTCAGCGTCCAGCGCCACGTTTCACACGTCAACTGTCCATGTGTGATGTGTCCTAAAGTAACCCAAAGCTTTAAGTGTGACGTACCGATACACATTTCACTCGCAACAACAGCACACATAAAATGTTCAGCTGTATTGTACAGTATATTGATACAATGCACTTATTATTCCTCATTGGTAATGAATCTGCTACTGTCTCCCCCCCACACAGATCCTTTAAACATTACTATGGAAGGACACAATCTAATCCAGACAAGCTTCGAGCCCACGGAGATCATGTCAACCTACTTGCTGGCTTTCGTTGTGTCTGATTTCACATTCATTTCGAATCAACCGGATGCAGACGTTTTGGTAATTATTTATTACATCTCACCATACAAATGGAAATTTGTAAGGGTCTTTTTGACCCTTGATCTTCCTTTAGGGTGGAACAAGGATTTTGTTAGGATGAGCAATAAACTGTGATGTTGATAATCAGCTATGAGAACCACACTCCCCCTCAATACCACTTCGACTGCGACTACTGCTACTATCTACTATTGATACAATGCACTACCATTGTTGCTGCTACAGCTTGAATTAGGCTCAATAATGTAAGCTGATCTGACTCGAGGCCCACAATAACTAATTTATCTCATGTATCTGCTCTGAATGCTGATGCGCAGTTTGAAATTACAACACCATAGCACATTGAGGGAAATTACAGCCATGACAGCAGTTTCGAGGAAGTATTGCTTTATTCTTTCAAGAAAGAAATGCATCCGACTCAAAACGAGGGAGTTTTATGGCTCATCACTGTGAACCTGGATCCTTGATACTATGGATTAGCCCACTAAACACTGGAACGGACCATGTTATCACAGCCGTGTAACCAACGTGACTGGATCATACAGTGGTTTCATTTCAATCATTGTGTATTTATGCTTCTGATTTAACAGTTTGTGTTTGTTAACTGCATGATTGATTGAAGATAATTCAAACTAAATTAGTTTTCAGTAATTATACAGTAAATGCAGCGTTACAGACCACTGCTCGTACTACTAGGACTACAAGTACCATCACAAACAGCAGATGTTGGCTCGTCTGTGGCTGCTCTGCTCTGTTGGAGGCAGTGTTACTATTCTGCCCTCTGCTGGACTCCAGGCTTAGCTCAGGTCTACTATTTTTTTCCCTTCTGTCTATTTAATAAAGCACTGTTTGTGTACAGATCAGGATCTGGGCTCGCAGGAGGGCTATAAAGGAGGGCCAGGGGGACTATGCCCTGGAGAAGACTGGGCCCATACTGGCATTCTTTGCGGACTATTACAACTCTTCTTATCCCCTGAAAAAGTCAGGTAGGAACCACACGCACAGACCAACACAAGGACAGTAAATAGGTTTGCGCTACTGTATGCATACTGTTAAACGATATTACTTTATGATTGTTTTTTAGACCAGATCGCACTTCCTGACTTCAGCGCCGGAGCCATGGAGAATTGGGGCCTGATCACCTACAGAGAAACCGCCCTCTTATATAACCCCGGCGTGTCATCCAATGGAGACAAGGAGTGGGTGGCAACAGTCATCTCCCACGAGCTCGCTCATATGGTATCAAACTAAAAGACACTCTATGGTGTTCTGCTGTCCAGAAACCAAATCATATGTTTGACGGTCATCGTGTTTAGCTTTGAAATGTGTTTCAAAACCTGCCGATAAAATGAAGCTCTGTCCTCTCAGTGGTTTGGGAACTTGGTGACCACGCGGTGGTGGAATGACCTGTGGCTCAACGAGGGATTTGCCACCTACGTCTCTTATCTTGGAGCCGACTATGCTGAGCCAACATGGAATATGGTGAGTTTTGAATATACCACGCTGAATATACTGAACGGACCTCTTTTTAAATTGCTCCGGTGTGAGCCCATTCCTGACAAGGTGGATCCATTTAATCCATTTAAAATGTGTGTAAAATGTGTCCGGTCATGCCACAATGCACATTTCAAAATATTTCCTCTGTGCATTTTCCAGAAAGATTTAATCGTCCTGAATCAGATCGTTGGTGTGATGTCTGTGGATGCCTTGGCCTCCTCCCACCCGCTCTCATCCAAAGAGGAGGATATCCTGACGCCAGAGCACATCAGCGAACTGTTTGACTCCATCACATACAGCAAGGTGCGGTATAATTGATATTAACACGTCTTAACCCTAATATATTGTTCTCTTCAAACCCCAAGAGACAAGATGTCGACCTCCGCTAAACAAAAAAGAATGAATTCATTTTTTCCCCCGGGTGACCCTAATCAAAGACTCGTTGGGAACTACAGAATTAAAGTACTAATGAATCGCTGATCCTCATTAACCGAAAGCTGTAATTGTGTCCGATATTTCACCCGCTAACATTGCTAATATCCTTCTGTGTTTCATCACAGGGAGCTGCGGTCCTCAGGATGCTCTCAGAGTTTATCACTGAAACCGTCTTTTCCAAAGGACTTAATGTGAGCACAGCTGATTCAATTTCGTTTTGTATTTTGTTAATGTTGTTTGTAATACCACCATTTTATTGCGGTTCATCTAACTTTGTTCACAGCAAAAGCACAACTCAAGCATAACAAATACTTTGATGATTTGTCTGCAGACATACTTGGAGGAGTTCAAGTATAGCAACACAGTCTACACAGACCTCTGGAAGCACCTGCAAATGGTAAGATAGCACCATCCAATAAAGAAAATCTATCTTTTTAAATTTATAATAAAGCAGAAGACACAAAACTGATAACCTCATGAAGTTGATCACGCTAACCTGTCAGAATACATTTGCCTATTTCAACATCCAGCAGCAGAGAAACATTAGTGTTCATTTGAAGTTGTGTTTTTGGACACCGGTCCAGTATAAGTTAACATTGGTCGACAGTGAGTTCACATTTCACTGATTAGTAGAGTGATATTATGTATAACTTTTGAAAGAAGTTCAGTCCACTTGGTGCAACAGCTTTTTCTCGTACGATAAGTAGCCAAAAGTGGCCAATGTAAGCAAAATGTAGGTAGCCTTGGTGTTGCTGTGTAGCTGACATTGTCATTTTGGTGACTTTTCTACACTCTTCTACTTTTACTGTAATTTCCACTTGGGACCACAATCACCACTGCGCAACAGCAAAATATGTAGCCTCCCTTTAAACATTTGTAGAATGAATCTGCCTGTTGTTCATTGCGACTCATGAGCAATGGTCATTTCAGTTCCGTTCAGTTCCACCAATTCAGTTCTGAGATCAGCTAAGGCACCTTGAAAAAATATTGAAATAAATAAAAAGTAAAATAATTCCTCTGCAGGGAGCAACAAACGGTCACAATATTACTAATATATGAATATTCCTCTTTTAAGGCAGTGGATAACGCCAACATAGAGCTGCCAGACTCTGTCGAGGTTATCATGAACCGGTGGATCCTACAGATGGGGTTCCCGGTGGTCACCATCAACACCCAGACTGGAAGAATTACCCAAAAACACTTCTTGTTGGACCCAGACTCTGTAGTAGACAGACCCTCAGAGTTCAAGTAGGAAACATTCTTAATGTTTCTTGTGAATATGCTGAATGTACCGAGTGTGGTCATATCGGGCCCTGGCATAAGAAACTCACCCGCTCTCTCTGTGTACTCCGTGTTTACATGTGTGTGGCGGGATGAATGCGGCTGTAGATATGAGTGGTTTGTCCCTATCACGTGGATTAAGACTGGAGGAGCCGAGCAGCAGTACTGGCTTCTTAACAAAGAGGGTAAGGTTTATTTCAGGTGTTCGTACAGAGCATTGCAAAGATGATGAACAAGATAGAAAAAGGTGCATTATTTTTGTCTCCATCCAAACAGCTACAAACGCAAACATGACTCTTAGTGCTGATGATTGGCTGGTGGCCAACATAAACATGAAGGGCTTCTACCGAGTCAACTACGACTCCGACAACTGGGAGCGTCTCCTCACCAAGCTGAGCTCCCGACATCAGGTGCGTGACGCCACGCTGCTTTCCACAATGCCCCCCTCCCCCCCTCCCCCACAAAACTCAATTCCTTTGTTCGCTTTTCAGGACATCCCGGTGATCAACCGAGCTCAACTCATCGACGATGCTTTCAACCTCGCCAGGTGAGGCCATGTTTTTTTTTTGCAAAGCGTCTGCTGTCAAATGTTGAAAGAGAGAGCTAAACGTATGTGCCTTTTTCAGGGCCAAGATGGTGAACACAACTCTGGCTCTGAGGACGACCAAGTTCCTCAATACAGAGGTCGAATACATGCCCTGGGAGACAGCCAGGCACAGCTTGAACTACTACTTCCTGATGTTTGACCGCAGCGAAGTTTACGGGCCCATGCAGGTGTGTGATGAACGGTCAACCTTTGCCGTGCATCCGCAAATAATTAATTCCAATGCTGATCCCCAAAGAACAGCAGGGTGACGGTGTTCATGAAGGAATGCAGATTGGTTAATTGAAGGAAAATGTACCTGGAAATCAGCAGATTGATCACAAGTCTTTACTTAATCATTTTTCAAATGCTCCTTTCATTCACTCCTCAGGCTTACCTGAAGAATCAGGTCACCCCTTTGTTTAACCACTTCAAAAACATCACTGTCAACTGGACAAAGATCCCAGAAAATCACACCGACCAGTAAGGATGTTAACATGCCGCCTGTGTTTTAAACCATGTCTGTTTCACCCTTTTGAACACACGTGTGCTATAGTAACCTTTGGCGCAATCAACGTATAGGCTTTGTAACCCTATGACAACTGCAACATACTGTAGTATTTCTTTTTATGATAAACCATGATGACTAGACTGATGTTTTTTCCTGGAAACCGCAGTATTTACAGGATGATACTATCGTCTGGGGTTTCCCGAAGGGGAACTCTGACGAGCACAAGATTCACATTATTTGATTGACAATTTAGGTTGCACTAAGCCGCAGTAAACCGTGTCCCTGTGGGCTCCTGTAACGTAGATTAGATGGAACTTTAATTATCCCCACGGGAAAAACTAGATAATGCCAAAATAATCTACCCATCCTCTTCCCAAGCTGCACCTCCACTCCACTCTGTATCTCTTTAATGTGTTCACTCCAATTTACTCTTATCTTGAGAGAAATAAGTTTATGTTGCATATTCACCGCTGGAAAACTTTCCTGCAGTTCTACTGAAAAGATGCCTTCATCAGGCGTGGTGGAATTTACTCGATGTCATTACTTGAATGATATCGTTCCCCTCATCGTGAGGGTCAACCCTCAAAGAGTTTGGATGAATTCCTTCATTAGTGAGAACATTCAAAGATGGTCCAAGTGCTCTCCAATGTGGGGGACCCCACATTGGAGAGCCAATGGGAAGAGGTCTCCGTACATGAGATGCTTCCCTTCCTTTTCTACCTCGAAAACTTTGATGGTTAATTTATCTCATTTTCAGAATGAGAAAGTAAACCTACTATAATTGGGAGAAAAAAAATCCAAGAGAGCCACACACAATTAAATGTTCAGGTATGACTGGGTATATATAACTTTAACTTCAGTAGTATTCTGGTATTTCTTAAAAGCGGACGTTAACACTACCACAGCAGAGAAATGTGACTGTTTTCAAATTTGGTAAAGAAAGAAAAATCTTCTAAAGAAAGTGCCGCATCTCACTTACGGTGCCCAATCTCACTTCTCAGACCTGGGGGGGGATTCGAGGTCTGCAGTTGGACCCCTCCTGACATTCTCCTGACCCCGTTTATCATCTCATGTCCCAATATAGGTACAACCAGGTGAATGCAATCTCCATAGCCTGCAGCACTGGAGTGGAAGGCTGTAAGGAGCTGACCACCGGCTGGTTCAGAGAGTGGAGGAACAACCCCACGAACAACACGTATGTTCACACCCTGACGCTTGCCTTTCGATCTTTCTTTTCCATATTGTCTTCCTCTCGGGATTAATATGTGGGATTCTCCTAAACTTGTTAAATGCAGCAGTTGTTTTTATTTTAATTAATGTATTTTCTTTGCCAAGCCACCGCTGTCATTGCCTTTAACTCTCTGTCACTTTCTTCAATGGTTGCAGGATTAGTCCCAACCTGAAGTACACAGTGTACTGCAGTGCGATCGCAGCGGGAGGGGTGGAGGAGTGGGACTTTGCTTGGTCCATGTTCAAGAACGCCACCATCGCTACGGAGGCTGACAAACTCATGTCCGCTCTGTCCTGCACCAGACAGCCCTGGCTGCTGAACAGGTCGGTGTTACTGACATCGTTCTCTTCCTCTGGTCATTTTTAGTCTCACTACAGGGTTTCGATTGGTCCTACATCAAACACTGTTGCAGCAGCAAGTAGAACGTTTTGTCCTCACTGTGAGTTGTGTTTCAGGTATCTGGAGTATTGTCTGGACCCAGAGAAGATCCGTAAGCAGGACGCCACCTCCACCATCATTTCCATTGCTAGCAACCCCATCGGTCAACCTCTGGCATGGGACTTTGTCAGAGCCAAATGGGACCATATATTCAATGAGTGAGTCTTCCATCGTGCACACATGTATAGAATGTGACAGTTAAAGCTGAGGTTACGGTTAAACGTATACGGAGGCAGAAGGAGGATTTGATAATTGCGGTGTTGATTATCTATAACTATTATTGGAGGGATTGCAATGACATTTTGCTGCTATTCCCTCCAACCTCCGGTCCTAATTAGCTAACATGCTAACATCCTCAACTATGATGGCGAACATAATTATACCGGCTTAACATCAAAATTTTAGCATTGTCATTATTAGCGTGTTAGAATGCTGAAATTTAGCTAAGTCTAGCATGGCCGCGGACCTTTAGTCCTGTTTTCAAAATGTCCAACCAAACAGCTTTACATACACAGCCTGTAGTTGTTTGCAAAATGATCACAGCCCGTGTTGTTTGGGCCTTTTTCTCCAGCTATGGTGGCGGATCGTTTTCCTTCGGAGGACTTATAATCGGACTGACCAGACGATTCTCCTCTGAGTTTGAGTTACAGCAGGTACAGTTCCTCTACAGTGTTCATTGTTGTAAGACCCAATGATCCAATATTTCATTCCACGAGGGCAATTTGTGAGAGTTAATATTTATAACGAGACTATTGTTTGCAAGGTGCTGTGCATCAGGTACAGCATGACGCATGAACGTGTCGTTACACAAGTACGGTGGTGAAGAAAACGTTCTTATACCCTAATTCTATAGTTTATACCGACATTCAGAATTGAATTCCAGTAACCCCCCTCCCTTTCCTCTCCAGTTGCTGCAGTTCAAAGAAGACAACGCCGGGCAGCTTGGCTCGGCCACCACGTCTCTCGAGCAGGCGCTGGAGAGTACCAAGGCCAACATAAACTGGGTGGCGATGAACAAGGAGCAGGTGCTTGATTGGTTCACCAGCGAGACCTCTTTACCAGTTTAACACAAGTGCAGATTGTCTTACTGACTTTTACACCAGCTAGAACCAATTGTGGTATTATAGATATTCTGAATGTAATGTTTTTTTTCTTAAATGTAAAGGTTTGATTATGCATTTTTATGGATATTGAATAAAAACATTAAAAACATGTTTTGATGCTGTACATACTGTAAACATTTAAGAGGTTTTGAATAGCTGTCACGACACAAGCGTGTGATATTCTCTGCTTCCCCGTGTTTTTTTTTTGCATCTATTGTTGATGCCAGTGTTTTGAATATAAGCCATATTAGATTGTGACATTTTGTACCTCCAAACTGTGAGCACAGTCCATTTAAATGTAAAATATCTGAAAATAAATGTCAGCAAACTTTTATTTGCTGCGCGTGGCCTCTCCGGGCATCTCATCAACATGACAGTGTGGACATAGCAACAGCGTAAAACATCAATTCACAAAATGGGCCATCCAACTTCAATGACTAAAACACATTATGTACCCATATTATTAACTTCTGGGTCACACATGGACACTGCAGAGAAACACTTTCGAACAGGAAGTGAAAATCAAGAGTTGGAGTGAAATAAAGTATTGACTTCGGAGTTTCTGAGCTGAATCCAGAGCCGTTTATTTATCACGTTTTATGATCTCAACCACTCGACATGTTTACACAGGATCGGAAAAGGCGCCAATTAACTGGTCCCAGCTCAGCTGCCACTTCACTCAGTGGGGGTCTTTCCTTAAGGACTTTAGCGGGGATGTGCTCCCTGTTTAGCACCTCATTGTCACGCTGACAGCTGCAGTGTTTGTGTAGGGAAGCCGAGGCCAAGCACCAAGTCTGCATGATTTCATTTGTTTTGTACATAAAAACATTTGGAGGAATGCAACAAACTCGAGGGTTATTTTTGATAAATTACGTTTATTTCGTTCACGTTGTGAAAGCTCAATAAATATACAGTTCTATGTATTAAATAAAACGCAAACAAAGGACAGAAATATATTTTGTTCAAAATAACAAAATTGAGAAGTTTTGTCCATAGATTTTGTTAAGAGGTCATTGCTGCAATGAAAATATCGGATTGATGGCCGTGTCTCTCAGCACTGTCCAGAGAAGGCGGCGTTTTGAAGTTGCTGCTGTGGCATCCAGAACTGCTCGCTGGTGAAGCGAACTCCGTTTGAAATCTGAAAAGAGAAGACAGATTTTTGGTTATAAACCCATTCAACACAAGTTCACTGCAAAGCAAATTCTCTTAAGCTCAAATGCTTTTAAATCCGTGGAGCTGTACAAGACCATGATATGAAACATACCTGATATGAGGGCTGCAGAGAGGACAGATGTGCTGAGCTCATGGTGTTACAATCTGGTTCTTGATGGCAGTAGCTGGCTGCTGGCTGACCCAGGAACTGGCTGAGGTTTTGAGGCTGCTCCAAAAACCCCGAGGCGTTCTGCTCCGGCGCCTCCTCGCTGAGGCCCAGCTGTGCCGACAGGTAGGAGATGTAGCGGGTGGTGAGGCGCAGCGTCTCGATCTTGGTCAGGGTCTGCCCGGCGGGTGCCACCGAGGGAGGCAGGTATGTCCTGAGGTGCTGCAGGGCTTTGGTCAGATCCCTCATCCTCAGCTTCTCTCTCTCGCTGGCCGTCTGCCGCTTCTTCCCCGGATACCTGGATCTGGGTTTCTTCACGGTGGAGGACGTGGCCGTGGAGGATCCGGGGCAAGGCGGACGCTGCGTCCCCTGGGTGAGGCTAGGCGCTGCTGGGCTTTTGAAGACGAAACAGTCCATGGTGTTCGGTTCGCTTCCGGCGGTCTGGAGGGAGGCTGGGGAGAAGCAGAAGGAGTCCACAGAGGAGGTGGGAGACAGGCTGCTGTTGCTGCTGCTGCCTGCGCTGAAGTAACCAGGGTCCGAGGCTGGATCGTAGGCCAGGGGATCGTAGGGCTTGTCCAGCAGGGACTCAAACAGGAAAGAGTTGTCCTGGAGCTGGAGAGGAGAGCAGTAGGAAACCTCCATGGCTGCTGTCGTGGTCGTAGTCTTGGTCTTGGTCCGAGCAGTCAGTGTGTTGCCGATGAGGCAGGTAGAGAGGACAGTGAGGAGGACCAGGGAGGCCGCTCCATATATGTGGTGGGAGGTGCGAGTTTGCACCTCCGGCAGCCACCTCCGGTCCCTGAGAAGCTCTGGGGAGCAGGGCCGACACCTCTGCCAGGGGGGGAGTCCCATGGGAAACATGGCAGCTCCGGGACAAGGTGCGACCGGAAGTAGACAAGTTCACACGACACGCTCCTGCAGCCTGGGAAGACGACAAAGGGTTTGTCTGTCCCTGAACCCAGAGGACTTCTTTTCATTAGAAATCTATAGTGTCATGAGCCGTGACTGAATGATCCCAAAAACGTCAATAATCCACGGCTGGATGAGTGAATAAGCCATGGAGCTGCAAGGTCTCAGGTTCAGAGAAGCACAGAGACGCCCCGTCATACAGTAAAAGTTGTTTCATGTGACACTGTAGTTAAATGGCATGTGTTTTTTTTTCTTTTTTCGCCCTGGTGACCCCCCCCCCCCCAACAAGGTCAGGCTGCAGAAGTGTGCCGGTAGGCAGCTGTGAAGTGTGAGGAGTTTACACCTCGTCCTGTTTGGACAGCAGTGTGCCTCACTGGCCTGGGAACTCTGATCTGCACAGGAAGAATGTACAGAACCAACAGACACGCTGTCTTTTATTAAGTTCAGGTCCACGCTGGCTGTCCCGGCCACCTCTTCATTGTAGAAGAGATTTTTCGGGCCTCAGTGGGACCTGGTTGGGATCTAGATTGGTACCAGTGGGGTCGAGTTTCCAGATTGTTATTATTAAAAATCCACCGTGATTAAAGTATTGTGATGTTGAGAGAAAGAACTGTTAAAAATAGATACGTTCTGTGGCAGAGGGGAAGACACAATACATTACGCTGTCAGTCTTCTATTGTTTATTTAGTTTGCAACTTTATGGTTGTATCACTTTATATTAATCAGACGCCTTTGCTATAACAAATATTTAAATTCCCTCTTCAGCACCTTTTTTTTCTTCTTTTTATACCGTTATTATTAAAAATGTTATTACCACGCATGCATCTCTTCTCCCTTGATCCAATAAAATTTGCTTCTGGTTCACAAACTGCTGCATACAAATATGCTGTATATCACCTCGAGTTAGAGGGTGAATATTGGCGAAGAGTTTTCTGCGTGTGGATTTTAATTTCAGATTGTTTCAACCTCTTTGTTGGTACGGGATGTTTTTTTTTTTTTGAATGCCTCCATCACTTATTCTAATTCACTAATTACTGTGGATCCGAATCCTGAGCAGTGTTCCCACAAACTGCCGCGTCACATTTGCCTCCTGCTCTGCAGCAGAGGTGAAACCCATGAGCGGGGACGTGTGAACCGGTCTCGCGCAGCTCTCGGGCCACCTCGGTTATGCAAGAAAAACAGACATCTGATGCTAAGAGAAACATCCAAAGCGGAGAGATGGGACGTTAAAACGTTTGAAAATCAACAATTCAGAACTCATTTAGCTGAAGCCGGTTTCGTTTTTAGCTTTAGTTTAGTTGGAGAGTGTGTTAGGTGACACCAAACTTACATCTAGATAACATTACAAATAATTCGATCACTTTATTTTTGGTTGATCGTTTGTAGCTTTTTACAAATGAGATCCTGTTGGTTTTACATAGTTTTCTGTGTTCTTTTTTTACATTACAGGCATTTTCATCCAAAGCGATTTACAATTCAGATTCTATCACATTTCTACACCGTAGGCACAGCTACGGGAGCAATTTTGGGATTGAGAGTCTTACTCAAGGACACATCAACATGCAACTAGCAGAGCCGGGGATCGAACTGCCGACCCTCTGATTGAAAGACGGCCCTGCTCTCCACTTAGCCACAGTCGCCCCCAGTTTTTAAAGGTTTATTTCATTCGTGTATATTTTGTGGGACGTACATCTTTCGCTTGATTTGTTTCAAATGATAAACTATTTACTGAGTATTATTTTCCGCTCTAAACCTTCGTCAGAGTTTCCCCCAGCTCTCAGCTTCCCTCTTTCCCTCCCCGGCTGAAGATAGAGAAGATCGGCCTTCTCTTAATCCACATTAAGCTCTCACAGTGTTTACTCACATGTAATGAGCGAATAATCAGAACAGCGGTGCTAACCCTTTCATTCCCGACCCTTTCAGGGCCAAAGAGTTTATTAGCTCTTCTGTGATGAAAGGCCCGAGTGGGCACATTAGGCTTTGTGTTGGGTTTTGCCGGCCGCATATCAGATGAGCTGCACGTATGTGGCAAACCAAACACTCGGGCCTAATTCTCCTGCCTGCCTTGAAGCTTCTCTATGAATATTAAAGCCCTCTCTGTTGACTCTGGCAGGTAATTAGGGCTGTAGGTGAGAGAGAGTGAAGGGGGGACAGAGCAGGGAAGATCTTATATCTTTAGTCTAGACTTAGCGGTGCCAAGGACCTCTCTGTGTTTGCTCAGCCACATTAGCAAAGACACACTAAATAAACTAGATAGCTCTGGTCTGCTTAGATGCATTACACCATGAGAGGGACTTACTGTAATGTGTTTCTCGAGGGGCTTGTGTCTCTGGTAATGTCGCATGATCCCATGTTTAGGGTATTTATGTTACATATTGTGGTGTTCCAGTAATATTCACATACGTATCGCGTCTCTATGGCATTTTACTTTTGCCTGTCATAGTTGCATAATTTGCTGTAGAATTATTGGTTTTTTTTCAGGTGTTTCACAGACAATCTGAAAAAAAAAAAAGAAAACACGAATGTGGTTGAATAATACAATATATTTTCATCCAGTTGCATCATGGGGTCTTTCACAATTTATTTGTTTCTAAAATGCAAAGTCTTTGTTGTCTTTATGTGTTTGGAAATGTTATTTTAAGTTATATTTTTTCTAAAGTCTTCTCAAGCTTTTTTTTCCTCCCACAGACGACACGTCGTGTCTCAATAGCAGAAATCACAGGCGTAAATGATGGAATCAATGAGGTCTGATTGAAATTCAGCTGTCTCAGTTTCAGGGAGCCATCGTCACCGTCATTAACCACACCTGTGCGTTTTCCTGCCACAGCGAGACAAGTTCAAACGTCTGCTGAGTTTGAAGGGAAACGTTAATAAAACGATGCACAGGAACTCTGCAATATTTGATTTTTCTTTAAAAAAGAAGTTTAAAATGTATTACGTTGTTTACAGTGACGATGCTGACAGGGAGCAGACGGGGGACGGAGACAGCTAAGAAAATATTGACTTTATTGTCTCATCTTGATGGTCGCTGCAATCAAACTGAGCTTTGTGGCAATGTGTCCCCACTGTCAGGCCAGCAGGACGCCCCTCCAGTATTTGACATTTTGACATTATTTGAGGTTTGAAGATGTCATTCATTTCTTTAGCTGTAGCTTCAATGAAGAGTTGCACTGCAACACGCTGATACAGAATATCTACGTTAAGTTTAGACAAAGTGTTAAATGGACGGACAGTTTTTAAGGTTAAAACAGGCTTGGCTTAATATAATCATTCCTCCTGTTCACTGGTTAATAAGAGATCCCTTCCAACATTGCTTTCAATATCAGTGATGAAATCCACAGTCTTTATTTTGTGCAAATAGATAACATGAGGCTTCAGCAGTTAACCAAATAAAGCAGAGTTACAACCTCTTTGGTGTGAAATCCCCTCGCTGTGTTTCCTTGTTGAGCAGCAGTGGAAGTGTATGAACAAAAACAGTTGTTTGGAAGGAGGACTGTGGATTTTTGCGCAAATGTCACTAACATTGGAAGCAAGGGATCTCTTAGTAACAGGAGAACGGATTACAGCAGGCAAACACTGTTTGTATGTGAGCCGTGTTGTCTTTTTTGTTCAATGAGAGCTATGAGCTTAAATGTTTCACTTCCTCTAAATTGTAATACAATCAACAGTGTTACCTCGTACTGTAATATATCAACCATCTCTGATGATCTAAAAGTCTTGACGAAACTTTAAACCTAGGTTGTTGTTTTTTGTGTGTTGTTGTTAGAGTACCTTTCTTTAGTGTCATGTCCCCTGATGAATGTCCAATATTCTCTCTTTTAGCTGCAGATTCAGATGATAATTCTCTGTAGGCTCTGTAGGTGGCAAACGACCCCTTTGACATTGTCACGTTTTTATTTTAAACATGTATGAAGATACAAATCATAGCCGCTTTCTTTTTTAAAAACCTAATAAAAAATATGTATTCAAACTTTGTTGTAGCGACTACAACATAATCAAAATAAATAAATAAATAAAAAATGATCGTGAGGCTGGCCATTTTATGATATTTGTGTATTTTCATCACTGAGGTGCCAGTGTGCCTTCATGACAAGCAGAGGGTGCTCTGTAGCACTCTTCCCTCGGTCCTGCCATATAGGCCGAATCCCAATGTCCCCTATGGCCTTAAACCCTGAACCCTCAAGGACTTACTGATGTCACCTGGTAAATGCTTGAGTGTGAGAGACTATAAGGGCTTGAAATGGTGTAAATACGAATGGGAAATATTCTCTGATTTCAAGTTTATTTTTTGTTTAAAAAAAGTAAATTTAATATGACAGGCGGAACACCCATGTACCGTCTCCATGCTTCCACTGGTTACCCTGTGTTTCACGTCACATTGCAATGAATTGTGGGTAATTCAGTTGGGCAAAGTCTGCATCTAATGCTGACTTACGGAAAGGGTTCATGAAGGGCTCAAAATGTCTGCCAGAGATTCAAACACGAGGATTTGACAGTGGGACAGTGACTTTGGGATTGAGCCATACATTCACACCAGGTGAAGTGAACTGCATCATGGGAACCAGGCTTGGGAATGACGACAATGACTCGCGTGGCATTTAATATTATATTTATTATAAATAGTGGCATAAGGAAATATAAAAATAGTTGTTAGACATATCAATATTTACATGCAGCATTTCACAGGACAAAATAAATAAAGTTGTAGAGTAGCATATATATTTCAAATAAATTATGTGTTTCACAGTGAGGCAGTAAAGACAGAGAAGTAGTTTGTGTCTGTTGTTGGATGACGACGATGAGTGTTTAACCCCAATACTCTCTGGGAACCAACGGCATGCAGAAGTCTTTGCCACACATCTGAAAAAAATTTAAAAAATCAACAGGAAGTTTGAGTACTTTCATTCAAAAAGATGCAAGAAGTGGGATTTGCACATATAGAGATTCATAATTAATGTTAAATGTTCACATACTTGATAGCACGGCTGTGTTGCCGGAGGGGACTGCAGGATGCCGTCCATGCTCATGTCTCCCATTGGAGCTTTGATGTACTGCATGCTGTACTGATCCGCTCCAAATCCACAGCTCCCAGAATGCAGCACGGTGCCCTGGCTGTGGCACTGGGTCTGGTACAAGCTCTGGTCCTGCAGCGGGACCTCCTGTCCTCCCACGGGGCCGTGCTGGAAGTAGCTGAGGATGTCGGGCGAGGAGGACTCGCTGGCCGAGGTGTCTCCCTGTTCCCTCCTCTGGAAGAGCGCCTCCTCGCTGAGGCCCAGCTGGGCCGACAGGTACGAGATGTAGCTTATGGTGAGCCGGAGGGTCTCTATCTTGGTCAGGGTCTGCCCTGCGGGGGCCACCGAGGGCGGGAGGTAGGACCGGAGGTGATGCAGAGCCTTGGTCAGATCCCGCATCCTCAGCTTCTCCTTCTCACTGGCGCTCTCCCTCTGCTTGCTGCGCATCCGGCTGGCTCGGCCCGACTTCCTGCCGCGTCCGGACAGGGAGCAGGGCGAGGACTTGAGGGTCTGGGGGTATCCGGTCTTGGCCGCCTTGGGAGTGGACTGTGGCAGCTGCTGGTAGCAAGAAGGAGAGAGGCTGGAGTCCATGGAGGGCACAGGGGAGAGGGTCTCCATGGAGGAGATGCTAGAGAGGTCCGAGTCGGAGCACCACTGGTACTGCAGGCCGTAGTTGAGCAGAGGGACCGAAGAGGTATCCATGTTGTGTGGAGCGGGACTCTGTGGTCTGACTGGAGGGACTGGGAGGCTGTGAGTGCCGCTCAGCTCTGTTGCACTGGTTTATAAGTCCAGGCCAGGCCACAGAGGTGTGAAGTGACACCTCTGCAGATTCTCACAAACCATCACTGTCTCTACAGCGGAGGCTGTAGAGACAGTGCTGAACACACACACACACACGCACCCACACGCACACACACACACATACACACTCCCTCTCTGGGACCTTGTCTCAGGACCTCTCCTCCGTGTCTGGGAAAATCTAGCTACAGGAGTAGAAGTGTGAATTTTGACTCCTGCTCAAAACAATAAACAGTTTTTGCTTTTTGGGCTTTTTTGTCCCCGAGGCAACCCAGATGCATTTTGCACATGTTTAAGGGACGGGGTTTGTTTTGAATGATCGCATTTTTCCCGCATTCACTTTTCAACACTGAAGCCAAAGACACTTGGACAGTATATGATAGTGTGAAAAAGCCTTACACTGCTGAATTATACCAGCCATTACACTGAGTTAATTGACACATTATCTTATCTTATTTAGCACATGATGATTTCAGTATTGTTTCCAACCAAATATAAATCAAATCACTCGTTCATTCTGCACACATGTCTCCAATAAAGTCCTGTGATAAAAACTTTACCACCAAATAAACATCAGTCAGTGAATACAAATCCAAGGATCAAGCACATAATCTCAGGATCTAAACATGGTCAACGAACCTTTACAATAAAAGGCAGTTATACATCTTTCTGATGTCTAGATTTAAATTTGACATTTACAAACATATAATTAGAATATGAAGTACAGTTTTTTAAGATTTGATGTACAATATATAAAGAAGTTCAACTCCAAATCGACCAACTAAAACATTGGAATTCTCATGTTTACATATGAATGTATCAATAATAACGATAATCTGATACACATAATATTATAGCACTCTGAAAAGGGATCATTTTGCATGATGAGTACTTTTACTTTTGATAGTTTAAGAACATTTTGCTAATAGAACCTTTTTTGGATGGAGTACTTTCACTTGTAATAGTGCACTTTAACATTGTGGTACTGCTACTTTTACTTAATAAAGTGTAGGAATTTTTTCCTTCAGCGATAATTTGCAATGAAGCTCGAAAGACAGATAGCAAATATGTGGGTGACCTGTGCTATAAGACTACAGATATCTAGCTGAGTGAGTTTTAAATGACTAATTATGGAAGTAAATGGACATGAATGGTGCTGGGGTTGAAGTGTGTATCATTGAAGTGTGTATCATCATGTCAGATGTGTCAAAAGTCAAGGGAGTTCTCATTATTAAGAAAACAGTGATCGCGTCCTCCTTGGAGGTTTCTCGCCATCGTCCTTCTCACCTCATCCCGACCTTGAACCTGACATGTGTGTGTTCTGTCCTCTGCTTTATATTCCAACACTTCTCACCAACAAGATTGTTTTATAGTCACAGCAAGTCCAGCTGTGATCTCTGATCCTTCTCTTTATCTCGATTTGTTACGATTTGTTCCTCTGCTGCTGCTTGCTGCTGCTCCTGTTGTGTGTGTTTCTCAATAGGCGTCTACGTCCGACACGGCTGAAATGTAAAATGTAAATACATCTAATGAAGCATAATGACCTGTATCATGCAGTTAAAGCCAAGGTGTGATGGTTTCACGCCGTTGAGAACTGATGAGTCTGGAGGCGTCGCTTCACACCTCAGCTGTGAGAACCGGGAATGCTGGGAAATACTCCTAACCTCTCTCTGTCCCCTCTTTTCCCCTGTGTTTCTCAGCATCGCTTTTGGTGTAGGCATCCGATCAATTTGGGGAGAATGATGCATTTTTTATTCAGAAATAGTGAATAGTGCACTTTAAGAGCACAGTACCAAAGCACATTGCAATACTTTGCGATACACGGACAGTATTGGACTTCTTGGTTTGGTTGGTTGAATTAGAGTGGTGGTGTTCAATCTATGTTGCTTATTAAATCATCGTAACATCATCATCGTAACACCGTCATTGTAATCATCATAACTTTTCTCGCTTCAGTTTCAATGAAACACCAGCTCTTTAGTGATTGGCTCAGTATAAAGGTGTTATCGTCTGGTCAGCAGCAATGCAGATGACTAAAAAATATATTTTTTTTTAATTTTGTGACACAAAAAGATGAAACACAAAACTGTGCAAAAATGCGGATTTGTCTGGTGTTTATAGAGGGTGTCTTTCAGCTTGGAGCCCCTTTGAGGATCTTCTCCCAGAACACTGAAGCCCCTAAAAATTAGATAGAAAAATTAGGTTGAACCAGTGCAAGGTGAGGTGTTTAATACAACTGAATCAACTTAAGAGGAAACATATGACACCCCAAGAAAAAACTAATGGCTGTGTCGAGCTGAGGGCGGCGTGAACTGGGGTTGAACCCGCACTGCTACCCTGCCAAACCCCCCCCGACCAAGGTGAGGCTGTGGGAGCCTTCCTGGGAGTTTGGCACCTCTGAGGGGCGCACACCCACAGCAGGCTGAGGCTGGGCTGCCTGCCACCTGTCTGGGCCTCCTGAGCCCATCAACCCCACCACGACCTCCAGTGCGCTCCCTCCTCGGCTTGGAATAAATTCAAATTGCACATCATTTCGATGATTCCTGCGGGGACATTGGGTCGGCGCCACGGCAAACAGTGGTAACAGCAGAGACAACGAGAGCACAACCGCAGCGTAATCTGTTGGAACAGGCAGTTAATGCTGCGGTCAGACGTCAAGTCTGCAAAAGATGGGTCCAGATTTGATAATAGAGCTATTTGTTAAAAGTTAAAATAAATACATTTAAATGCTTCCATACAGGACACAAGGGCTCACTGGATGAGTTGATATAAAATTGTCAAATGCTATGGCCTTCATCTTGACCCAAATGAACATTATGACATCATCGTCATCAAAACACCAAATGAGGGAATATATTTTTGCAACGATGAACAAAGATATGAAGATCCCAAAACAATCACAAGAGTTGATCTGTTTCTAACTCCACAGTTTACTCTTGATGAAGTGCATTATTATGAAACTGCGTCACATTTGACACTGTCAAATTAAAGTCAATTGTAATGAGTTTTTTCTTAAACTTGTGTGGTCATATTAGGTCTGTTGAAAGCTTCATTGTGTGTGTGTGTGTGTGTGTGTGTGTGTGCGTGTGTGTGTGTGTGTGTGTGTGTGAGTGTGTGTCGGTCAGTGAGTGAGGTGGCAGGTGAGGGGGATACATTTTGCACCCTAGGTGTGAAACATAGCTGGAGCTGGAGCTGGAGGGGTCAGCCAGAGGTGGACAGTAAATTTCCTCTAATTGTAAGAGAGTGACATCGACAGAACATAACAAAATTCAAAAGAACAACTTAAGAGAATTAATTGAAATAAACTAAATTATTGAAACAAAAAGTATAGGGAGCAGAAGTTGAGGGTTTACTTTGTGTAAATGTTGATAATATGATATTAATCCGTACCACCTAATGCTAAAAAACCCAAAGACATGTTATCAGCCGAATCTCACCCAAGTCATATTATTTACTAGAAGTGATTTTATTACTACTCATATTTAGTCTTCTGTTCGCTGTCTTCTAGTTTGACATCCAGGTAGACCTGTTGGACAGATCAGCAGAGTGTTCTTCACACCTCAGCCAGAGTAAACACATCCTCATACTACCGGCACTTGCTCACACTTCTGTGCTGCCATGTTTTTACAAGCCCTATTCCCCCCCCCCCCCCCCCCCCCCCCCCCCCACCCACAGCTGTCACTGACATGGGAATAGTTATATTCAGCTTGTGTCAGTGCAAGAATGAGCAAAACTAAAATTAATAAATACAATTCAACTTAAGAAAAATATTTTTTACATCACAGAACAAATCTAAAATCTCAGTGTTCCTCTGTCTGCGTTGCAAAAGACACAGACGGTGCAACGCTGCAATCTTAATCTGCTCTGTCCACTAATTCGTGATTTTTTTTATTGTAAATATTTTCGGCGTAGTTTACTTTGAGAGCATATTAAGCTTTCTTTGGAAGGTTTTCTGCTTAATCTGACTTCTTTAGATCTCATGATGACCACAGTGAAGTAATGATATCCCCTGTGATTTTATTTCATAGCATAACATATTTAAAGTTTATTTATAGTTCAACACATTTCTTCACTTCATTTCCAAAAATAAAATGAGGAGATCGATACCACTTCTCATGCCGACTGTACGGTACATAAAGCTACAACCAGGAGCCGTTTAGCTTACCACAAAAAACGAGTACCAGCCTTCTCCGTTCAAAAGTAAAGAAAGAAAAAGACAAATAAAGTTGCGTGCCCCTGCCAGCAAACAGTCCAACACATAACCTCCCATACAGATTAATCAAATGAGTTCATAATGTGTTAATTAATGAGCTTTGAGGTGTGTTCCAACCCGGTCTCACTCCCAACTTGTCAAATACCAACAGTTAGTCATACCGACCATGAAGGCACCCTTTAGCGTCTGTAAGCAACGCACCAGGCTTTTTAAAAACATTTAAATTTATTCATTTAAATCATAACTCAGAAACACAAAACTGATGCAAGAGGGGTACCGCACTGACCAAGCGTCAGTATTTGACGAGATAGGAGTAAAAATGTGTTGAGTGTTCGGACAGAAAATGAAACGTCACTTGACCGCTGGACCGTTGGTGTTTATTAGTCCCAAACAGTGATGAACCACCTGTACAGAGTTAGCTGTGAGCTAGCTAGCAACAGACCCACAGACCGTGTATGTGTGCCGTTTGTGTTTTTGTGCTCACCTCAGCGTCTGACTGAACTCAAAACTCAACAAATCCTTTCTGTTATATGTGTCAAGTTGAAACATTTTCAACATTCTAGCTGTTTACCTTTATTTTACAGTCTGACGGCTAAGCTAAGCTAAGGTACCGGGGTGCTCGTAATAGCTATATACTTAACGCATACATTGTGAATTGGGAATCAATCTTTTCATTTAACTCTCTTAAGTAACCTATTTCTTAAAGTCTTGACTGAAACCCTCTCATATTCATAAAAGTGTGCATCTCAATTATTAACCAGACAACCGGAACATAAGCCCTCAGCTTTATTCAAGTCATGATGGAGCTACTATTTTACAACAAATATACACAGGTCTACAATATGTACAACAACAAACATAGTTTCATAGTCAGACTATTGTGTAAATTCACAGACATATGGATAACAACCACACGCACGCACGCACGCACACACACACACACACACACACACACACACACACACACACACA